ATCTGCAGCAACCTGAAACACGCTAGGAACAGGAACGCCACCACCTGGCTGCTGTCCCGGTTGTGTTGGTGGTGCCGTAGAGTTATTGTTGTTCTGCTCGCCACTTGATTCTTCACTGTCATCTTCAGATGAAGGATTTTCTGGGGGTGTTTCTGCCGCAACGTGTGACCAGCTCCTTAAGAAAAATAATATAAAAACAGGAAGGAGAAGGGGCAGCCTGGTCCGTCGGGCTCCTCGACGTCCCCGCACGGATTTCACTGAGAATGCTGCTGTTTCAGCGCGTGTTGCTGCTTCTCCTGCTGGTGCTCCAGCAGCTGCAGGCTCAGCTGCTGTTGCTGGTGCTGTTGCTGTTCGGCCCCAGGCCCCAGAGGGGCAATCTAGTGTGAGGGAGGGCGCGGTCATGCCGGCTGTAGGATATCATTCAGCACGGTTGCTTATGTGCGAATGGGAACACTTGAACAAAGCCAAGAAGCACATGCGTCAAGCCCCCTCACCAGATCCCCTCTCCACTACTCGCCAGAGGCGAACTTAGAAAGCGTATGGCCGCGATGGCACCGGCCCAGCCCCAGTCAAGCCATGCGGNCTCGCCAGAGGCGAACTTAGAAAGCGTATGGCCGCGATGGCACCGGCCCAGCCCCAGTCAAGCCATGCGGTTTAATGGTGAAGTTGGGTCCAATAGAGAAATATAAAAAGAGTTATGCTGCCACCGAGCCGCCCGGCTTTGAAGCAGCGGCTGAGGGCAGCCGATGGAGCTGAGCTGGAGCGGGCGGGATACGGGGACAAGGGGATGATGATTCCCTTGTTCCTGTATGGGGAGACAAACGCCTGATGAATTGCGCTACAAGAGCAAAGAGAAAGCTCCCCATTAAACTTTATATTTTGCTTTAAGAGAAATCAGCATCGCAGGAACGCAGCCCCGAAAGAACCGACAAGCGCAGCCACACCGAGCCGCTCACGCGCTGAGCGTCGAGGACGTGAACTCTTACGTTTTCTCTGTCTCCATGATTAGTTTATTCTATTGATTAAATGTTGTTTATGCATTCACTAACAAGCTTATTACGAAGGCAAAAGGACATAACAGTGGTAATCTGCTCAACGCCACTAGTGCGCGGTATACTGGGTTAAGGGCTGGCGTTGGGTGCCGTACCAGTTCATCTAGAACAAGGGCTCAGCTGCCTGAACAGAAGGTTCCTATGGGAAAACTTTCATTTTAAATTAATATATTTTTATTTTTACTGCATATACAAAGGATATTCAGTATATAAAGCCCCACTTCTCTAGTGGTCCTTCGAACAGAGGGGGTTCAGCTCGCAGCTAAGGAATTCAACTTCAGGAAACTTCAGCACAACAAGCCAAACGTAGCAGTTTTCGCGTCGTGTTACCCAAATTTTTGTTCAGTGTGTTCTTCTTCTCCTGAATATGCACTCCTAGTCTTTACTCCTGCTACGTGTCGTGCACTAGTAGCATGGTTCGTTTGCCACGTCTGTGGTAGTCTGGTACGTACGTTTCTCTCTGTGTTTTCAGACGAGATACTGAGCGCCCAGTAACTGTTGAACAACTGTCTACAGTGTTACTGCATGCAGCACACGGGAACTGGAGCACGCCTGCTTGTGGGGTTGCTTTGCTCGTACCAGGGCTGCTGCAGCTGGGTGTAGGCTGCTGCCTCTCCGCAGCATCTACAGAACCTTGTGCAATACAGAATCTCCTTCGCGTATATATCGCCAATCAATAGTATTGTTCATGACAACAATACGATTAAAACACATTCATATTGTAGGTGTTTTAGGGTTAAGCAATAGATGGTGACATATTAGATGCAACCGATGGGTTTCCCAGGCTAGATACTACCCCCTGAAGGATCTGTGTAGAGGCTGCTATGCATCCAGCTAGAAGTACCCTTGAGCTGTAAGCGTGGCTGGGAAAGTAAAACCCTTCGCTTTCTATTAACTCTATGAATTCCACCCCGTCTTCAGAAAGCTGAACATAGGTGTGATATATATGGTATAACGTTAGTGGAAACCCTTTAAACTCTCAGCTTTCCTGCAAAAATTTATACGCAGACTCCCCAGCATCAGGCGTAATGCTCAGTAATATAGATGCTAGAGTTTCAATATATTTATCCACAGAAACGTATGTAAAGCTAATTCGCCCGTCGGCATCCCTCTTGCTGCTAGGAAGATCTATACGAAACCTCTATATAAATTAATATAATATATAAGAAATGCTAAATTCAAGTTGTCGCACGACAATATGAGAAAACAAATTCTGGTATGGTTGTTGCCTCGCAACAGGGGTCCATAGGAGAAAACAAGGGTTTAGGGTTTAGGGTTTAGGGTTTAGTATCTAGAGTTTTTTCAAGCTGAATATGACAGAGTCAAGAGGTGATCTTTATCGCCAGCAACTTGACGTCCTGCAGGGGTTTGTCGTGTTCGTTTGTTTTCACCTGAATATACACCCGAAATACAACACAAACTGACTATACACCCCAAACACAACACTGAAGATAAACCCCAGCACAACCCTGATGATACTCAAGCACCCCAGAGAAGAGGAGAAACGGAGAAGGGCTCGCTGCATACAAGGGCTGCGCTAGCAGTACAAAAGGATGCATAAGCAAACGCCCCGAAATGATATACAAGTTGGTGTATTACAAACACTGAAAACCTGTGGCCATACACCTGCCGCTTTCTTTACTTTTATCCGCGTTTTCTATGCAAATATGCAACAATTGTTTTGTGTTTCACGGATATCTGAGGTTGAATATATATATATATATATATATATATATATATAGAGTGTACGTACTCCCTCTATCTTGAGCACAACATCAGCACCATGTGTAACTCTGCCGAATACAGTATGTTTCATATCTAGCCACGGGCAAGGAACCGTGGTGATGAAGAACTGAGACCCGTTCGTGTTGGGGCCCGCATTTGCCATTGATACAGTGAAAGGCCGATCGTGCTTCAAAGAACGGTGCAACTCGTCCTCAAAGTCACCGCCCCATATTGACTCCCCTGAAAAAAAATAAATAAATAAATAAATATATATATATATATATATATATATATTTATTTATTTATATACTTATTTATATATTTATTTATATATGTTTATATATATTTATATGGAAAGAATAAATCCTTGATCCTAGAAAGAAACCCGTTTCGATTGCCATCGAGTATACATATGTTTCAGTGTATGCATGCATTCGTTCACATGCATAATGGGGCTTTATGTGTTATGGGTGTTATAGTTAGTTTCTGTTTCTGCTTACCACCGGTGCCGTCTCCATTGGGGTCACCTGTTTGAATCATGAATCCTTTTATAACTCTATGAAACACCATATTATCGTAGTAGCCGTTGCGTGCATGCACGGTGAAGTTTTCTACTGTTTTGGGGCATTCAGCCCCAAACAACTTCACCCGAATATCTCCGAATGTTGTATGCAGCGTAGCAGTAGCACCCAGACGCTCAGCAGGAGTTATTGCAGATCCACCCGTTGCAGCTGCAGCAGCAGCAGAGAAAGAACCAGAGCCACATACACGAACAGCAGCAGCAGCAGCAGCAGCAGCAGCAGCAGCAGCAACAGGACCACACGCCACAACAGCACTTCTGAAAAATATGCAAGCTAACGTCAGCAGCAGGGATCCAGAGACGCCCGAGGTCCGAACAAAATATACCAACTATAAACCCTAAACCCTAAACCCTAAACCCTAAACCCTAAACCCTAACCGCTCAAGGATTCTTGTTCTTCTTTAGACGGTTTCTCATTGAAGACGTCTCGCGTGTCCAATATGGCATCCGACGGGGCATCTGCAGTGAAGAAGTAAACCCTAGAGAAGCAGACGCACACAGAAAGGGTTTAGGGTTTAGGGTTTAGGGCTTCGGAAAGCACGAGAGACCTGAATGCTTCTTAGGGTTTGTAAGGGTTTAGGGTTTGATGAGGGATATAACAAGCACAATATCTGCAGAACTTGCTGCTGCTGTTTAGCTGTCTATACACTGGAATTCAGGGCTGTATAGAGAAGAGGAACCACCAGGGAGAGAGAAAACAAAAAAAAAATAAATGGACGCACCTCTTCTTCTTGAACGCAGAAGCCACCAATATCGCATCGTTGGCCCCAGCAGTCGTCTTCGCCACGCGCTGTACATACACTCGAAACGCAGAAGGAAAACATTCATNTCGTTGGCCCCAGCAGTCGTCTTCGCCACGCGCTGTACATACACTCGAAACGCAGAAGGAAAACATTCATTCATGCATGCATGCATGCATGCATGCATGTATGAATGTATTAAACTAAACAGATGCATACGTGAATGCATGCACTGCAAGTAAAGGAAGAAACAACGACGAGCAACATGTATCCATAGATACGTGTATATATATTAAATGGTATATGCATGCACGCATGCACTGCAACTACAGAAGTAAACAACAAGCCAATGCATGCATGCATGCATGCATGCATGCATGGGTTTAACAAAAAATAAAACAAACGGCAGCAGGGCTCCTCACTCGCGCTATGTATGGCTGCTGCAGAGCAATCGCCAGGTACCGCAGGCCCTGCTCGTGGCGGCCGATGAAGCGGGAAACCTGAACCATCAAAACCCTAAACCCTAAACCCTAAACCCTAAGTGTTAGCCCCTAGACTGCGCTACCCCGTTGGAGGGTTTAGGGTTTAGGTTTTTGTTGCATAAGTAGATGAATGTTTTTGTTTTTTTTTTTGTTTTTGTTTTGTTTTTTTCTCACTCTGTTGTCTAATATGTTAACAACCTTGACGCCTAAGAGTGTAGGATAAAGAAGAAAAGAAGAAGAAGAATCAAATAAAATATTTTGGTGAAGACGAAGAGGAGAACGGCTCAGCTCTCTCTCTAGCGCAGCTCGCTGCTCGAAATCTAAAGCATCCTGGTGCAGCAAGCTAGACTGTGGGTCCTTCTGAGCCATCTCATAGAACTG